ATCCAAACAAAAACAGAAATATACCTTTTGCTACAAAAAAGTTGCCAATCTCTGCCCTAGTTCATGGATAGGACACATACCATATTTTTGAAGTACAAGACGCAGCAAGGTTCTGAAGAGGAAAAATTTTTTTTAAACTTTTTGCATTCTGCAAACCTTCCAAAAACGTCCTGTTTTTTGCGAAAATGGGCCCATTTTCCCCCGGAAAAAAGGGCTTGTGGAGTGCTTGGGGGGGAATAAAAACGAGCAAAAAATGGCCCACTTTTGCAAAAATGGGCCCATTTTTTGTTTTAAAAAGGGCATGGATAGTCTTTAGGAGGCGGGGGGCAAAATTGAGCAAAAGATAGTCTGTTTTTCATTCATTTCTGCCCTCCCCGGCCCCCAGGAGCACTCTGAAAGCTTCCTACAAGCTATGCACGGCCATTAGGGTGAAGGGGGTGGAGTTTTGGGAGGCAAAAAATTCTGTATTCAGTGTATAAGACACATCCAAATTTTCAGCCTCTTTTTTGAGGGAAAAGGGTGCGTCTTATACTCCGAAAAATACAGTATATTTCAACTATTACAATTAAAAAGAAAAAAGTGGGATTTCTGAGAAAAAAATTGATAATCTAGGAACATAACACACAAGAAAAATATGAATAATTGATGTGGCAATACCAAGGGATAACTGAAGTAGATCACAAAGTATCAAGATCTGAAAATCAAAGTGAAAGATTATGGCATAAACTGGTTGTGGTAGTCCCAAAGGTAATCGGCACACTAGGTACCATATCAAAGATTCTTGAATGACACTGCACATTGACAAAATTACCCTGTCAATTACAAAAGGCCAAACTACTTGGATTTACACATATACTAGGCTGATACAACATCCCAGGTTTTAGGGAAGAACTTGATTCAAAGGAAAGCCAACATCAACTAAAGAACTGACAACTGTTATTTCATGTTGTTGTATATACAATAATAGTAATAACTATTGTCTATGCATCCAAAATCATAGTGTTTAGACCGAGTACTGTATTTTCTAACAATATGGTTTTTAACCAAGAGCATAAGAATCATGGAGGTATCATCATAGTATGCAGGAAGTTCCAAGCAAGGCAGTTTTTGGCAAACACAGTGGTGTCAAGTCCCATTAATTTAAAATTTCAGAATATTTGGCTAGTCTACAGGTATGGTTTTCAGATTATTATTAGCAGTATAATTTACTTTCTCTTCCAAAATCTTTCAATTTCAGTTGAAAGAGCCGTGATGGCGCAATCGTTAAAATGCAGGATTGTAGATTAATTCTTCTGAAATGTACTCAATTTTGGCTTTCATGACGTTTATATAGCTTGGGCTGCAGTGACTGTTACTGCAGCTTCTTTTTGAAGAGTTGCAGTTTTTAGCCAAGTTAAATTTAGATTTTTCTTCAATATATTTATCTATATTGTGAGTTCCAGCAGCAGAGGCACAATCTGAGTCCCATCTATTAAAAAGGGTCATCTGGAAGGACGTAAGATAAGTCTATTCTGTTGTGGTGCCATCTCCTGGAGATTATATTTACCCTGACCCTTTTGGCTTTCTGTAAAACCTGGTTCTGTAACCCTGCCTGGGGATGCCTGTATCAAGATTATATTGATAATGCTGTCTAATTTTATTCAGGGGGGTATACAGTTATTTGTTATAATATTGTACCTTGTTTTTATTCTCTATTAGCTGCCCATGGTAATATGCTTAAGACAGGCAGCTAATAAATTGAATTCATAAGATATAAATATATTGCCCATGAGGAGTTTAGGTGTTAGTTGGACTATCAGTTGGTTACTTTGTGTAATACTTGGTAGCTTTCTTTCTCTTTGCAAGCCTCTACCAGTTACTATGCCTGGTATAATAATTCAAGTTGTATTTTTTTCATTCTACCATTTGCTTTACTTGGAATAATCCCCTCCCTATTTTATTTACAACAAATCTGTCAACATGGAAATCATGATCCATGATCATTAATACTCTTACTTTCCTATCAAGGATATCTAATTCAGCCCATGTCCAATCAATTATACCTGTGGTATATTGAGTAATAGGATCAGCCCGAGTGTTTATGGGTTTAATTATGTTCCCTGCATTTAAATTTTTCAGATTCAGCTTATATAA